TTCTAAATTAATTTTAGAACTAATTTAATGAGCAAAATGAAAAATTTAAACAAGTCTAACTTAAAATAAAGTTTTCAAAGTGCAGCTAACCAAAATAATTCCAAGAACCATTCTTAATTAAATTGGTTTAGCTTGGTGCAACAACAAAAATAAGGCAATTTCTCACTTTTAATTTAATCAATTTAAATTAAACTTGAGATTTTGACAAAGTAAGAGGGAGTTGGAAAAATATGAACTTTAATGTTCAAATGAAAAATTCAACTTCTAAATTTTGTGAATCCTTGAAAATTATATCTTCCAATATGAAGATAACCAAATTTCTATCACAAAGTTTGAAACTTTATGTTTCCGATCAACCAAAATGATTTAAAACAACAAAGTTCAACACAAAAATCATGGAATTTAGTGACTTTTAAAGTTTGAATCACTTAACATAATCAAAAATTGAATCTTTTGCACTTAGGAAGCTTCAAAACCAAAATTTTCACACTACAAAGCAATTAGTTTGCAATTAGGTGAAAATAAATCAATCTTTTAAGCATCAAATACTACCAAGTAAGTATGCTTTAAAGAGATTAAAAAATGCAGAAAAATAATGCAAATAATCAACCACATAAACACCATGTTATGCCATTAATTTCAAGGTAAGAAAAGACTTAAAAAATTTCGTCAAAACGAAAAATCCCACGAAAAAGGCACTTCTGGTCGGAATTTGGCTAAAATCACAGTCCTAAAGGGACAAAACCATTTTCAAAACGCCTTTTCCACCCAAAAATTCACTATTTTTGGGCAAAAATCTGGGTTCTGGGCTGAATTCCACATTAAAAACGGGATTAAAATTAATAAAACCGAGCTAATAATCTAATTAGCAACTTAAACTAGAAAAATAAGCCAAAAATAACCTTGAAAAAAACATGATTATAAAAATAAACGAGCGGGGCTCTGATACCGCTGTTGGGGTTTGGTGAGTCCGACTCACCGCGGAAACAACCCCGACCCAAGAACCACTCGCAATTAATAAAACCATAAAGCATAACAAAAACCATAAAAGGGTAAAATCGGAATTTACCTTTGAAGCGTGTTTCGCCCTTACACACGGGCTCGTACTTGAAAGCTCTAGCTCCGTAAATACCGAGCCTCCAATGGTATCCACCCACAAAGGACGAACACTGACTTTTTAGGTCCGCTACCTTGGAGTTAGCAAGGTCCGACCAAAACCCAAGTATTAATGGAGTTTAAGAGTTTTTGCCAAAATTCAATGCTCTTTCTAACTCCCACTGAAGCACTTTTCTCCAAATCCTAAGATGGGTATTTATAGAGAAAAGTGGGAGTGAGAATTTCAATCCCATCAATGTGGGATCATGAAATTCCTCAATTTAATTTAAAGCTAAAATAAATTAAATAGGCAAGCAAGTAATAAATCAACAAGTGTCCTAGTCATATGTAAAGAGGAGTATGGACCACTTGGAGAGGAGGGGACCATACTTGCTGCCCACTCCTTCCTCTCCTTGTGACACTTTTCCACACACAAAAGCAAGCTTCTCACATGCTCTCCCATTTACACGGCCCTAGTACCCGGCCTAGCTAGCCCCACCCATGCGGGCTTGCTAGCTGCTGCCTTCTCGGCCCAGCACGCCCATGCACAATGGTGCGGGCTGCTGCTACCGAGTGGCGCTGCTAGCTAGCCATGCACATGTGCGGGCTGCTAGCAGCAGCGCTCGCCAGCAAGCCTCGCAATGCTTGCGAGCTGCTGGCCGTGGCTTGCTAGCATGCCACGCACATGGTGCGGGCTGCTAGCTTGCCTAATCCCCTAGCACTCGGGATTCCGATGCTAGGGGTATTTTAGTCATTGTTGATTTATTACTAATTTTGTCGTCTCGTCTTTTTACTATTTTTGACTCGACTTCCGACGCTCGGTTTCGACACTCTAAGCTCGAATTTCCGATGTCTCTAACACTCGGGCGACGAATTAATTTCTTCCGAATTAATTCGTCGAGTCGGTTCGTATATTTGCTTGGGTGTGACCCAAAGGGTTCAGTCAAGATTAAGCTATAATATTAATTATATATTAATATTACTGATCGGAAGCGGCCTCCACCCAGGCATTCCGATCACTTTACCTTACTAAATATATTAGCTTTCTAATACTTCTGAACCCGCTATCAGAATAATACACTTGTTCGAAGGACACCATTCCTTTCAAGTGAGAATAGAAAGGTTATTTATACATACCGTTCCAGGAAGAACCATTTTCGCCCATATTTTCCTTTATCATTTTTGACAGGTTGAATATCATACAATGAATCTGATTATTTATACATTTGAAACGGGTTCAAATAATTTAAATGAGAAGATGAATTTGATATTCTGCAATATAAAATAAAAAAATTTATATTGGTTTACATAAAATATAGGAATGTGGTTTATCTTAAAAACATGATCCTAATCGTAATCACAAAATCTTATATCATGATTTACCTTTTTGAAGATAATGTCACTTCAAAAGTAAACGAATGTTCATATGATTTTGTATTCTTTGTTGAGTCTGATGTCAACTAATCTAACAATCAACAATTCCTGCAAATTCAACTAATACCATAAATTCGAAAACAATCAAATTATCCTGAAATAGATGAATACTTGAAATAAAATATGGTTGAATCAATTTTTTGTGAAAGGGTAACGAGGCCAATATAATTAAAGAACAATTATGGTGCTACATATTTTGAGGATTTGAGATTTGTACAAAGGAAAAAAAAAAAAAAAAAAAAAACTATCAAATGCTTAGTAGTTAGTGAGAAATGACATACAATATTTTTTTTCATTATTAGGACAAACATGCATATCTTAGCAGTTACCCAATTAGCAATGATATGCTTAATGATATTTTTTTTTTGTTTTTACTATATGGTAACCGTTAATTTTGTTCATCCATTAAAGTAAAGTGATTAACTGCATGTTTCACGTAGAAGAGCAATTTTATTTTAATTTTTTTTTTTAACAAAATCAGTTATGCAATTTTAGGCAATTTTAAAGATTGAGAAGGGCATTTTGAGAAAGCCAAATTTATCACCCAAAAAGTCCTTTCTCTTTATATAGTACTATAGATATTCACAAAATACATATTTTAAATAAAATACATATAAAAATACGGGGTATTACAATATTGGTGGACTAATAAGTTGGAAGATGCCTTTGGAATAAGCTTATAAGCATTGGAAAATCTCAAGAAGTAAGAAAGTGGCATGCTTCAAGTTCTAGCCCTGCTCTCTCAAGATGTGCTCTCATGAAACCATGGTGTTGAACCCACCGTCAACTCGTCAAGTCCATTTGAATCTACCATGCTTAGTGACTATCATGAAGACATTGCATTCTCACACGAGGAACTATTTGCGAGCGCATGAAGCTATGAAGAAATCAAAGAAACTCGGAAGAACGCGAGCGCGTTTCCTTAGTTTCCGGATTTTCTCAACTTTTATTTCCCGCCTCTTATAAATATCTATTTTAGCCGATTTTTGTATGATTTTTTTAGACATTATTTTCCTCATAATTTTAGCTTAGTTGAGAGTTTCTCTATCTAGTTTTAGGATTAGTTTAGGAGTAGATTTAGAGAGAGAAAGTGAGAGATTTTAATAGTGATTTGAGAGATTGAAGATTTAAGGTGACAATTGTATTGAAGATCTCCATAATCAATCAATGAGGATTTCTAACTCTATTTCATTTTATTGCTTGTTTAGATTCATGTTTGTTTGATTTGATTTTGATGTTTGATTCTTGATTAGTGTAGTTGTTCTTCAATATATGTTGATCCTTGATTTCATTTACATTCTTGTTCATTTGATGATGGATTGTAGAAAGTACTTGCTTGCTAGGGGTGGGTAAAACATGTATGATTGATGAATTGAGATTGATTTGGGAATTTGAGTAGTCCTTTTGTTGTGATTAAATTGGTTGATAGAATTGTGCATGTGGTTGAATTGATAAGTAGTAGCTAACCTTGATTTTCAAGCCAGATAGCATTGTGATTCCTAATGACATGGCCACTTGATTTAGGGATTGCATTTATTGATTGAATTTGATTTGTGATTCTTCTTGCTAGTCATTCATAGAGGAAACCTAGCTTGACTTGTAGGAGATAGCCTTTTGAGTTCTCTTGATTGCAATTACTCTATTTTCCCTTGCAACATTTGGTTAATCGGTTTTCCCCTCAATAGGCATTCCTGTCTTGATTGCATGTTGATTCCCATTCCCTAGTGTTTCATTTGTTTGTTTCTAGTTTTGGTATTTGGTTAGTATTGGTTACTCTATCCTTCACCTTTGACTTCCACCTAGCTTAGGCGCACATTGGAAACACTTAAGCATAACTATTCCTAGTAGTTTGAACCTTGACTTACCTCTATACTTGCATTTAGATTTGTTAAGTGATTTTAAATTTTGTTTGGCACTCTAGGGAGGATTAGTCAACGACCTAGTTTTCCCTACGTCAAATAGTTTTCTAATTTCTCTCCTAATCTCCTTGTTTTTAGCTTAGAGCAAAGCTGACCTTGTGTATGTTTTGACAAATTGATGAATGAGAAAGTCAAGGATAATAGGTGTAGACACCTTAAAATGTCTCCCCAAAACCAAACTCGCACTACTACAAAAACATGAATATAGAACGCCTAAAACAAGCAAAATGGAGCGCCTCAAAGGCGTTCCTCTGAGGGGGTGCCTTATAAAGTCTACGGAACGCCTCTTTAAGGCGTTCTATATCTAACACAGTATAGATCGCCTATTTGAGATAGACGCTTCATATTCTGGGTACAAAGTAAATAAAAAACATGGAAAAGAGAACGGTCATCTTAGGATAGGCACTCTATAACTTTATGAAAAGAAAACGCCTATATGTGATAGGCGCTCTCTTTTCCTCACTTTTTTTTCTTAAAAAAATATATATTATTATTATTATTAAATAATAATAAATAATAATAATTAATTAATTAATTAATTAAAACACCGTAGGAATAACATTGAATCAATTAAAAATTAACAAATGTTTCAATTACAATAACTAAATTACCTACAAGAAATTTACATTACAATTTCTCTAATACAACTAATTTCCGATTGTGTCAAGGGCCTCAAGGTTGCCGTTTTCGAGAAAATTTCCACTCTAATATCTGTAAAAACGTGCAACAACAAATAATAAGATCGTAATTGCAATGTACCTTAAGTAAATTTTATACAACTTCAAAACCCAGAATCCACCCCAACAAAATAGATCTTAAAACAATTTTAATTACAAACTTAAAATCTCATCCCACAAGAAATTAAACCAAACCCAGTTAATAATGTCACTCATATATATGTTCAAACAATCTAGTTAAAGAAACTGAATATAAAAAATGAAGGAATAGAAACTACCTACCACCACTACCGTAACACTTCATTCAATCCTTCCACCATCGGCGCACAAAATCAGAGTAATCGCACCAAACAACCACAACCACAACCACACCATCAACGCACAAAATCATAACAAATTGCATGATATGTCTATTTTATATAGTATTTTATCCCCGTCCCTTGGTCATAATTGGTAGTGTTTTTGGCTCTTTAGAGCCACTTTTATTACTAATTGGTGTTTTCTAGTGTTTTCGTAGTTTTGGTTGAGTTTTGTAGGGAATTGCAACCTTGGAGAATTTTCCCAGGATTTTATGGAGCGACTACGAGCATTGGAGGAGCACGACCATCTTTTCATAGCCCAAGGCCGGTTAGAGTCATCAAGCCGGTGATTAAGGGCTCGACTTATGTGAAGACGAGGCGTTGAACCAAGTGATTTAAAGCCCCAAGGAGGATATTTGATTGGTTGGGCCGAGTTACAAGCCCAAACAAGAAGTCCAAGTCGCCCAAAGTGTCCCCGCCCGGTGCAAGGGTCTCCGCCCAAAGGCGCGCCCGACCGGGCAGGGTAGAAGAACAAAGGTCGCAGCATTTCCTTCCTCGGGCGCCCGACCGGGCACGAGAAGAGAAGCCCACAAAGAAAAAGGCGGGCCCGATCGGGTGCGTGTTTCTGAAGAGTAGTTTTAGCGTCGTTTAAGTTTTTGCTAAGCTTAGGATTTTCTAACTTAGTATTTATACGCTTTTGTTAAGCGAGTTAAGAATTCTTTTTTTACTCTCCCTTACTATTTCTCTCTTTCTCTCTCTAACTTTTCTCTTTCTCTCTCCTCTTAAACTCTTAGTATTATTTTCTCTCTCTACAACTCTTGGTTTAATTCCATCTATTGTTTCCTTTAACTTTGGTAACGATTTCTTCTCCTTTAATCTCAGTTATTTATTTTCTTTCTTTCACTATGACTTGTTTAATTGCTTTGTTTGGTTTATAATTAATTATGTGCGAGTAGTTCTCTTTCTAGGGTTTGTGGGGATCCATAAATAATATGAAGGGGTAATTTATTATTGTTAATTGTCAATGTTTGATGTATTTTCTATTGATTGATTTAATGCTATGCGATTAGATTTGGCCAGATTTAATTTGTATGAGTTTAGCAATATTGATTCGAGATTCGAGATATGAGATTTAATACCGGTTGATTAATTCTATGATTGTAATACGTAGCAAAAGCCCTTTATGATCTGTTAATTGGTGCATTGATGATTGACTATTATTGATTATTGATATTGCATGATAGTTTCTTATTAAATTGTTTTAACGCTTTAAAACCGAATTATGAATCGAGCAGATGTGATTTGCTTGTAAAAGTATAGCAATAATGAATTGATGAATCAAGCAGATGTTAATTTGATATTAAAGTCTATATTCAATAAGAACTTAGATCTAGTAAATTGCGAGAGTCTATTAGATCTATGTTATTTATGCAATGTTAATTGTTGATTGTTATGTTTTACCCTGGAGTATTATTTATTGGTGAACCTATGCCCTAGGTCTTTTATTCATTGATTTCCCCTTACTTTTATTTCTCCCTACTTTTATTCCTCGTAGTATAGTTCCTTAAATAACAACTTTTGGTTACTTAATAATTTAGATTACAATAATTAATTAGGAATAGAAAGACTTGTTTCCCCGTGGATTCGACCCTACTTCCATATCTATTATTAGTTAGTGGTTTTAGGAATTACTTTTGATTAGGTGATACGATTTTAGTCTGTCATTGCACCAAACAGAAAATTTAGATCTAAGTAATTTTAAAATGAGAATAAAAATTTTTATATCCAACATAATTGAAATAAAAAAAAAAAAAAAACAAAACAAAAACTAAAGATGAAAAATCAAAAATCGCTCAAATTAGAGAGATAAAAATAATTGAGGAGATTAAAATGCAAAATGAAAATAGAATTAGAATAAAACCAAAAACTTTAGATCGAAAAAAAAGACAATAATCATTCCTGAATCTGCTAAAATTCAGCACAAAAAATCCCAAAAATCCAATACCCAGAAACTTAAATCATTTAAAAACAACATAAATTTCAAAAAAAAAAAAAGTTGATACAACTCAAACAATCATCGTTTACCACATTCAAACTGATAAAACTTCCAACTTGATATTCGATGATTACAAAGAGAAAAATCTTACTTAGCATCGGTTCGTTCAACCACTTAGATCTAAAGAGGAAGAAGTCTACGGGCTTGGAGTGGGTTCGACCCAGTGTTCCGGCGCCCTTTGCTTGTTCGCAGATTCAAGGGAGAGTTGAAACCGCTTACCCTCCCTTTATTGAATGTCGTAGAAGACAAGTGAAAAGTATCTCGAGGATTTGTCGGCAAATTAAGATAGGAAATACAAAGCTAAATCCATAAACGAAAGGTGGCGGAAGTAGAAGCTAATTGTGAGGCAAGACAGACAGAGGAAGAGAGGATGAGATGGAGGTGAGAGGAATAAAATATTTTTGAAGGGAATGAGAGTGAACAACGGTGGATTGATTAAAAGAGTTCTAGGTTTTGTTCGGGTTTTTTTTTATTTATTCTTGAAGCATTTTTTTATTATTATGCTAAAAGCAAATAGAGTTATAGAGCTGTTAACCAAAACAGGCGCTCTATACTGAAAAGTCACCTTTTAATTAAAAAAGTAATAAATTATATAGAACGGTCAAATAGGGGAGGCGATCTATAAGTTCAACTTACAAAATGCTCATGTTACTCAGGCATTCTGTAATATTCTAGAGATCGCCTATCCAATTTGACTGTTGAGTATTGTGTTTCTTATTCTCACTTTTGTGGTAGTGCCGATGATGAACAACCTTTCATCGCCATCATTAGTCGGGTTGAGTATATAATCTTTGGAGTGCTTAAATCCATATCCAAATCAATACATTTCATAAACCAACCCAAAAAGTCTTAGCTGCACTACTCTAGTGCAGCTAGAATAGCTGCAACACGCATATAATAGGAACATTTAGTAAAAAAATATGAACACGTACAAAAAATGAATATTCAGTAATAAAAAATGAAGACGTAAAATTAAAATGAACATTTAGCATTAAAAAGTGAACATGATTATTATATAATCATAAAATTGATGAGCCATAGCCTTAAAAATGAACATCTAGTAAAAAAAAATTGAACACTTAAAAATATATGATCATTTAGTAATAAAAAAAATGAATACGTTAAAAAAAATATTTATTTAGTAATAAAAAATGAACTTGTTAAAAAAAATGAACATTTAGGCTAGTATAGTAAAAATGAACATTTATCATACAATCATAGAATAGCGGAAAACATACCTAATAAAAATAATCATTTCATAAAAACAATATTCATACATTATATAAAATTAAATTTAATACAAAAAAAAAAAAAAAAAAAAACACGTAAACAAATGAACAATTTTTTAAAAAATTATGAATATTTAGTATATTTAAAAGGAAAAATTGCAAAAACTACCTTTTATAACAACTTTTTTTGTAAAAAAACACCATATAATTTTTTTTTGTAAAAGCATACCTAAAACCGTTTTTTTTTTTTCGATGTCACACCTTACCCTAGTTTTCGACCTTTGACTTGGTTTTCAAGTGTTGACCTACACGTAAGGAGCACGTGTTCCGGTTACTATCCCCTTTGATTATTTTTCCCTCCAATTTACCCCATTTCTCCAATTGAACTTTCTCTCTCCTCCTTTCTTCTCCATCAAAACCCCAATTACTCACCATTGACGAAGGAAACTCCTTTTTTAAGCGTGAATTGCTCCAATTAAACTAATTTTGAGTAAGGTATGTTGGTTTAATTATTAAAATTTCATGTTCATGAAGTTTTATTTTCGAATTTCCCCAAATTAAGGATGGTTTGAATTGGAATTTGGGGCTACTTTTAAAGGAGTAATTTCTGCCCTCCAATGTTTGTAGGATGGAATTAGAAGTTGCTTCGAGGGGTCAAAAGTGTTTTTGTGCAGTGGCATTCCTGTTGCTATTAGGACCTCATGGACGCATGATAATCCTAGGAGAAAATTCAAGGCTTGTAAATTCTACAACTTACTCTTTCACTTGGTCAGAATTAACCTATGAATTGGAGCATTCAATTCGCCCCTACCATGGAAGACCTCTCTTGTAGAGTAGTAATGGTGATGTGAGGAAGACAAAGTGAAGTAATAAGGGAAGAGAGGAAAGAGACAGTTAAATTAGAGGGGGTAAATTGGAGAGGAAAAAGGGGAAAAATAGTAAAAGGGGGAAAGTGACGGGAATACGTGCTCCTCATGTGCAGGTCAACGCCTGAAAACCAAGTCAAAGGTCGGAAACCAAGGTAAGGTGTGACATCGAAAAAAAAAAAGCGGTTTTAGGTGTGCTTTTACAAAAAAAAAAAAATTAAAAAAAAAAATTATATGGTGTTTTTTACAAAAAAGTTGTTATAAAATGTGGTTTTTGACAATTTTTTCCTATTAAAAATGAACATGATTTTCATATATTCATATGAGTTTAAAATCATTGTATATAATAATTAACAAAAAATAAAGATAAAATATATCGTTAAATTATGTTCATTTTTTATATACTAATGTTCATTTTTAGCGTACTAAATGTTCATTTTGTACAAAATGTGCAATTTTAAAGTATTGTATGTTAACATTATTTTTTTTTATTTACAGCACATAAATTCGATTGTAATTATTTTAACTCTGAAATTTTGAATATCCACTGATGTGTCTATTTTATATAGTATTTTACCCCCATCCCTTGGTCGTAATTAGTAGTGTTTTTGGCTCTTTAGAGCCACTTTTATTACTAATTGGTGTTTTCTAGTGTTTTCATAGATTTGGTTGACTTTTGCAGGGATTTATGCTTTTGGAGTATTTTTCCGAGATATTTTGGAGCAATCACGAACATTGGAGAAGCACGACCAGAGTTTATAGCCCAGGGCCGGTTAGAGCCATCGCACCGGTGATTAAGGGCTCGGTATAGGTGATACCGGGGCATTTGGACCGAGTATTCAAGACCCAAAGAGGAAACCCAGATTGGCCCGAAGAATTGGAGCCCAATCGAAGTCCAAATAGTGGCCCAAATGAGCCGCCCGGCCAAAGAGGCTAGCGCCCGGAGGCGCGCCCGGCCGGGCGGGAGAAGCTTAGTTTGGCGCCCGGTGACGCGCCTGGCCGGGCGCGAGATTTGTACTATGATAAAAAGGCGCGCCCGATCGGGCGCGTGTTTTATTAGTTGACGCTTAACGTCGTTTTAATTTGTTTTAGTTTAGGACTTTTGTACGGAGTATAAATAATCCTCCGTAATACGATTTTAGGATCTCTTCTTCTTCTCTTTACTCTTTCTTTACTCTCTTAATTATTTTCTTAGAATCCTTTCTCTCAACTTTTGTTCTTAATTCTACTCTTAATTCCAGATTACTTTTTGGTAACAATTTATTCCCCTTTAACTTCACTTATTTTATTTGCTTCCTTGATTATGCTTTTATTTATTTATTTGATTAGTTTAGATTTAATTATGTGTGAGTAGTTTTATTTCTAGGGTTTATGGGGATCCTTAAATAATATGAAGGGGTAATTTATTGATGTTGATTATCATTGCTAGATTAATTTCCTATTGATTGATTTAATGCTCTGTGACTAGATTAGGCCTATCTTTTATGCATGAGTTTGACAATATTGATTCAAGATGCGAGAGATGAGAATTGATGTTTAGGTCTAGTTTCAATAGGCAGATTAATTTATAAATGGTTAAGTCGAGATTCGAGAGATCAGATTTAATACCGATAAATTAGTTGTGTGATTGTAATACGTAGCGAAAGCCCTTTACAATCTGGTTAATTGATGCATTGATGATTGACTATTATTGATTGTTGGTATTGCTTGATAATTTCTTATTGAATTGTTTTAACGGTTTACAATTGCGGCTTGTAAAAGTATAGCAATAATAAATTGATGAATCGAGCAGATGTTAATTTGATATTAAAGGCTATTACAATAAGAACTTAGATCTAGTAAATTGCGAGAGCCTGTTAGATCTAAGTTGATTAATAAATTGCGAGAGCCTGTTAATCATGTTATTTATGCAATGTCAATGATTGATTACTATGTTTTACCCTGGAGTATTATTTATTGGTGAACCTATGCCCTAGATCCTTTTATATATTGTTTCTCCCTATTCCTATTCTTTGTAATTTAGTCTCATACTCAAATATAAATATTGGTTACTTAGATAATTTAGATTATAATAATTAATTAGGAGTAAAAAGACTTGTTTCCCTGTGGAGATCGACCCTACTTCCCTATCTACTTTAGTTAGAGGATTTAGGTATTTACTTTTGATTAGGGGATACGACTTTACCCTGTCATCCACCTTAAATCTAATCTTACCTCATCATAGAGACAATAATTATCGATCTTTAACATAATAGATTAGGAATCACAAATGCAAAATTGATAAAAATCAACAATTTTACAACATTCATATATTTATAATTAAAAAAAATCAAAATTACCTCAAATTTCACGACAGTGACAAAGATGATGATGATGATGATGATGGAGAATGCTGCAATGGTATGATGAATTGGAGAATACCCAAATTAAAATAAAAAAGAAGTATAAAGATTGAAAGAAAGTGAGGTAAAAAAAGAAAATTAACTTTTAAAAAAAAGGGCAAAAAAGAGGAGAGAGAAAAATTCAGAATGAGTAGAAAACAAAGGAGAGAGAAAATTAATAGTGGTAAGAAAGAAGAAGAGAGAGAGTTAAAATATAAAGAGGAAAAAAAATGTATGTTCATTTTTGGATTACTATATGTTTATATATAGATGCAGTGGAGCAACTAGCTTAGCTACACAAGTTTGCATCTAAAGAAATTGCGTTAAACAACCCAATTCCTAGCCCATTTTGCTAAACCATAACTCATCTTCCCCTTTTCGTGTCCACATCACAAAACTGAGAGAAACAGATTTTGTAGACCTATAATTTTAATCCAATTATGATGTGGTTGGATAGGCCTTGAATAACCTTTCCAACGATATATCATAATCCCAATTCCGATTTAAAACGAAGAAGATTTGAGCAAAACACTAAACTCAGCCCAAAATCAACACTCTTTCACTAAAATGACCATATCTTAAGATTTTGACCAGATTCCAATTGGGTTGGAAAATAGACTTTATAAGATTTCCAACAATATATTATATGCTTTGTTCCAAGTTACGGATCAAAAGTTATCATAGTTTTAACAACGCGTAAAAACTGGAATTCACCGTGTCAAGGCAAAACGTCGCGGCGCGTCATATGATGTCGTATCACGGCGCTTTGTACAATGTCACGGTATTTTCAACGTGTCGCGGTACACTACCATGAAACTGTGTTTTAACATTTTTCTACTCGCTTAAAACATCACAGATCTGGACTTTTTTAGGCAAAACTGTAACCGTGTCACGGTGCTCTATACCTTGCCACGGTGGACAGTACCGCGTGACGGTTCCCAGTATCGTGTCACGATACACACACCGTAACACGATGCTCAATTAGGGTTTTTCCGCGGCGCTTATTACTTTTAGGGTTTCGTGGAATACCCTGCTAATTTCCTCTATAAATACGAACCTGATTTCTCCAGTTTCGAGGCACCAAAAATAATTCTCTTTCTCCCTACACCAAAAATCATTATCTTCCCTCTTTAGCCTAAATATTAGCCTCCATATTCTTCCACAATACTTCCCCTAAGCACTCCAAGGAGTCCATACTTGACCGAGGTTCTATACTTAAACCAAGGCGTGAAAGGTAGAATTTACTAAGGGTTTGGACCAAATCAACTCTACTTTTTATTTTATTTAATTGTTTCAATTTG